TCATCATTATCATTATCATTATCATTATCATTATCAGTATTAGTATTAGTATTAGTATTAGTATTAATAGTATTATTATTACTGTTTATCATCATCATCATCTTCATTATTATTATTATTATTATTATTATTATTATTATTATTATTATTGAAATCAGGGGGGAATGGTAGGTGACTGTGTTGCCATATTCTATCAACTGACTGACCGACTGACCGACTGACCGAACAAACAAAGTGGTGGAGGGAAACAGCAGGCTGCAATGGTGATTCCCAGCACTCCACACTGTAAAATTTTGTTGCAGCTTCTGCTGGTATTAGCTGCAGAGAAACATATTCCTTCATAATTCCTTCCTTACACAGACGAGAACAACAGCTTGTGGGGAAAGAGTGAAGTAGCCTGATGTGTGTATGTGTGTGTTTGTGTAGGGTGTATTTGTGTGTGTTGCAGAGCTTTTGCAACTGAGACGTTTTCATTAAAATTACACACAGACACAGTCACATAATATATACATATATACAGACGTGTGTGTGTGTGTGTGTGTGTACACATAATATATACATATATACAGACGTACGTGTGTGTGTGTGTGTGTGTGTGTGTGTGTGTGTGTGTGTAATTTTAATGAAAAGGGCTCAATTGCAGAAGCTTCTGGGGCTCGCTAGATGGCAGTCTGTTCTTTCTCTGCTTGCTATGAATGCAAATGCAGAAATCATCCGCAGGGGATGCTGTGTCGTTAGATGGTTGCATGTCATTAAAAAAATCTCTGTCCATAGAGCTGTGAAGCCTATCTTTACAAGAAAGGCATGAAGATAAGAAGCAGACTGGATAGACAGTGGACATATTTAAATGTCACCTGTTTCGTCCTTGGCTTGGCAACCTGGATGCGTGCTATCCTGGCCATTATGAGTCAAAAACATGTGCCAAGCATGAGTAACGTGCGGGCATGTAATGCAGGAAAGGAGAAATGGTTTAACATATTCATGCCCATAAAATGGCCGATTAATCACCTAGAACTGGGGGAAAGGTGTTCCCAATAATTCCTTTGAATTTAATTTCCTGTTGGCTCTTCCTTTGCTTCTGGAGGAAGGCTAAATACAGCTACTGAAACATGCTCATTTATGACCAAATGGAGCTTTTATTGAGCATAGGGTGGGCATACAATACTTCTTTATTATCAGGCTCCTCAAGATTCAGGCAGAATGGTCTTGGATTAAGCCTCTTCTGAGGAGGAAGTCTTTCCTGGAGGCATACATGCAGTTATGTAGTAAGGTAAAGGTTCCCCTTGACATTTAGTCCAGTCGTGCCCGACTCTAGGGTGCGGTGCTCATCCCTGTCTCCAAGCCGTAGAGCCAGCCTTTGTCCGTAGACGGTTTCCGTGGTCACGTGGCCAGTGCGACTAGACACAGAACGCCGTTACCTTCCCCCCGTGGTGGTACCTATTTATCTACTCGCATTTACATGCTTTCATACTGCTAGGTTGGCAGGAGCTGGGACAAGCGATGGGCGCTCACTCCGTCGCGTGGATTTGATCTTACGATGGCTGGTCTTCTGACCTTGCAGCACAGAGGCGTCTGCAGTTTAACCCGCAGCGCCACCTCATCCCTTTGTTATGTAGTACATCAAGAGCAAATATATAAATTCATCACAGACTCTGTGGCCCACACCCCATTTTCATGGGGCGAAACCTTTAACGTTTGCTTAACAATTCAGTCCATTACAGCACAGGGGTGTGCCTCCTGATCTCAGTTTTGGGCCTTGAAATCTCAGTGGAGTTCCTCAAGTTTTCCAGGAAGAACAGTCCAGCTTCTATTCTCACCTGCCTTGTCTGGATTTGGAGATAAAGATCGGTTCGATACAGGGGAGGGCAAAACGTGGCTTTCCCAAAATGCTAAACTGCAACTCACCTCAAACTAAGCCCAACCTCATCAGTGGTGAGGAGTGCTAGTCCTTGCAGTCTATCAATGTCTGGAGATGTTTCATTCTCCAGATGCATGAAGTAGCAGGTGAAGGGGAAGAACATTGTATGAGTGTATTCGCGAAGGCTTTCACAGCTAGGATCTAATGGTTGTTGTGGGTTTTTTGGGCTCTTTGTCCGTGTTCTGAAGGCTGTTCTTCCTGACGTTTCGCCAGTCTCTGTGGCCGGCATCTTCAGAGGGACAGGAGTAGACAGAGCATGGACAGAGTTCCTACCCCAGTCCTCTGAAGATGTCGGCCACAGAGACTGGTGAAACATCAGGAAGAACAACCTTCAGAACACGGCCAAAGAGCCCAAAAAACCTTGTATTGGCCTTAGGAAAATCTGCTGCCAATCAAATTAGATAACCCTGGAGTTCATCGTCTGAGCTGGAAGAAACCCTCAGCTTGGAGGTTACTGGGATTCTTTAATTTCTGAAGAACTTGAGCACTGACCGATAACTGGGAAAAACAACCTCGCCTCTTTCTCAAACATTGTCTTTACAATCTCTTTTAAAGCCGTCATGATGTATTTTCTTCTTTCCC